ATATATCAACTCCTAAATGAATGATGTCAAAACAGACGATACGCTGATTTATTGAAATTTCTTAAATGCTCATACAGTAATAGTACAACATAAGCCATAATAGAGCATAAGTGATAGAATTTCAGGCCTGAAGACGATACTGTCGATTCAATCCTTGTCATTAAAAAAACATCCGTTATTTAGATCACATATCAACACACCCTTTGATACTAAAGGGTTAAAAAATTTACAAAAAGCTTCTTTGATCGTTGATAGCTTCGAACCATGCTCATAACGCGCTTCGGAACTACTTTGTTCAGCCAAGCATTAAGCGGAAGGACAATGCCTCAAGTTGACATCTAAAGCGATATGGATATACCTATTAAAATAGAGAGGTATAACGAATTTCCACTTTTCAATTCTTTTTTTCAGTCATGACTGAACAGATTCAAATAATTGACGGTCTAGATATTGTCGACTTCATATAGTCTGTATAATGTTCGTCTTATACGGCAGCTACAATAATCAGTATATTCATCTGATGATGTCTTATCAAGGTAATATTTATATTATTTGATGTGTGGGGTCATCAATGTAAATCAAAGCCTAGTTACGGACGAAGGTCCTAAACAAAATATCTATTCGAGATTTATTAAAATGTAAGATTTTTATTCCTAAAAAGAACTGGCTGAAAAGTTAGAAAATATATAAGGCCCTTACGCCATCAGGCAAATAGGCATATAAAAGGTCCAAGTAATACACAGGGCACCGCGACCACCGTTTTGTTAGTCGAACAAAACGAAATTGGTCGGCCTCGTCTCTTAGTTCGTATAAACTTCCTTACTTCTACATAATACGGTAAAGTTCATATCAAACTCCATCATGCTTTTCCCGAGAACAAACCTCTTCTCTTAAAGCTAATCATCGTTACCGTCACGTCTAATTACCAGCGGACGCTGCTTGGCCCTCTGATATAAACTGCATTCCAATTTAAGTTAAAATATCTCTGTGCTGTCGCACTGAAAAATAGAATGAGCGGAAGATCCTGCTACGGAATAGACACGTACTATTTACAACTTATTTTATATACAATTTTGGTACGCCAGACGCTGTGCACTTATTGCCCTTCCTAACCACATGTAGCGCAACGTCTCTGGCTGTTCTGTGTCACAGACGTATTTTATGAATGCTTAATACAGAAGAGTTTTTGTTAAATTTGCGATAAGCACTCGTTTTCCTGGTGAAAGCATCACAAATGACTAGTTTTCGTTAGTTACCATTATTACACATTATTCCACTAAATTTGATTCTTTCCTTAGAACATGTAGCTTGCAGCTCTAAAAGTTTGGTTACCGTTTTTTTTTTGGACTCCTTTCGGGGTTATCTCCAGGGGTGTCCCATCTTTTTCAAAGAAACGACCTCGCATTGTATTTTTTCTCCGAAGTTACCTAGCCGTGCATCATGAGCATTTTTTGGAAGGCCAGATTAATCCAAAGTGCGTTCTGCAACAGATGCCTCTGGAACTTCCAGGGTTGTTTTTAAGCTTTTAATTTCCGGTATGCTGTGCGCGCCGATGTCAATAGTGGACTCGGTGTTGTCCATAATGGAAGCAATTACGTCTACAGAGCCGCTGGACCTTTGTAATGGAATATCATCCCTGATATTATTGTCCACCTAAGGCAAATAGATAAAAGCATGGGAAGATGCAATTCGTTATTTTAGGTCATACTATCGATTTTCTGAGCGTGTTCACATCTCAATATGATACAATTCTGAGCCAGGCAGTATAATTTAAGTTAGACTCTTTCAAATGATTTCCTTTCAGCGTCGCTGAAACACTTTTATGACTCTCCAAGACTGTTGCCGTGGGGTTATCTGGAACATAAGGCTTCATTGGCCTTTATTCGGGAGGGGTGTCCTTGAATGGGAAAAACCGACACCCGTTTTATTTGTCGTTATTTCAGGTGTGAAAAAGTCGCCGTGTGACGAGTCAATATCCATATGCAGTTCGCATAGAGATTATTTTCCGCTATTAATGGCTTAGTGCGACTCTCTTTACGTGTTCCTATCATAAGCGTCACGCCCCTCCCGGGTCATTACAACCGAGACAAACGTGGCGCCTATCCCGGCTGGAGAGACCCGAAACTTTTTGACCTTGATGGAAAACACATAAGATGTACTGAAAATACTGTTTCCCTTCGCCAGCTGCTGAGAAATTACCAAACGAAAACGTATGATACCCTAGTCTAAACATGTTTCTATTGAAAACATGTTTCTAACAAAAACGTAGCAGGTTAATCGAAATAAACCGATCTTTGAATTTTACAAAAAGTATTGCAATCGTTCGCTCAACTGAAAAATATATGATTTAAAGTGACTTTGTATACAAAGCAACGACACATTTGAGTATGTAGTAACTTTTTTTGTGCAATTAAACAGTCGAACCTGCGCCGTCATCGCAGAATCGCCATTAAGCTCTTTCTGCACGCGAATCATGCACGGACATAAATCTTGGCAACAGCTTCCCTTGATAGAAAGGCCTTCTGAAATAAAATAGGAAAGTATAGTACTAGTTAAGTGTTTACTAATGTCGCTTTCACATTACTGCTGGTGTAATAGAAAATGAATAACAATTGATAACGTCTAGCGATTGGAAATGCACCAGCAGAACTATTCACAGGAAGTACCCTGTGGACACATCTGGTATTATTTCTTTTGACCTCAAGCCTGAAATAATTGTTAGATCCGATCTAGACTTAGCTAGCAGACGAACAGTTGCTCTGGGTCTGTTTCCCTTATTTTCTCAATTAGCAGTATCAAAGTACTTTAGAATAAAAGTACTGTAGAGGTGTGATCGGAAACAACTTGCGTTAACCGGTCCACTCATGTTAAGTTGGCGGCTATGGGTAAGTTTAACTCGACTGCAATTCCGTTTCCATTTCGCTAGATCATGCTCTCGTAAGCGTTCCTGACACGATCCTATACGTTGCGACCTATGTCCAATGATCAGCCAAACAAACGTTTAATATTTGCTCTTGGCCCTGTGTATTGATGACAATCCCGCAGTGTTCACATAAGCATCTGTCTTCAGCGCTGCGGCATGATTGATGAAATTTCTATCGGGGCTCGTATCGGGTTTTTTTTTTTTTTTTTTTGCTTGTAAAATTTGCATCAAAACCAAGCGAGCGGAATAGTCAAGCAGGAGAGGTCAGTTGGATGGACTGAAATATCTCGATATTATAGTCAGTCAGCTTTTTACGATCAACGTAATTCTTCTTGTATTATGTAATCAATAGTACTTGCGTAAAATTAGTGCCTTTTTTTGTTTTCCAACTGCTGTCACTGTTATCTGATATGGCTGACTGTAAATGTACAGTGGCATGATCTGCGAAGGGCTGAAGCTTATTTTGTTGTGGATGACGATTTTGCAGTAAGTAAATGTAATGCAACGATCTGAATAATATGCGGAAGATTCGTTTGTGTTCTTCAGCTGTTTTTTTTTCTTCCTTTGCAAAAGAAGTAGCACGTTTTATCAAAGTAATTATTGTTACAATGGCAGACTTGATTACTGAGCCTTTTCCGGCTAGCGCTTACCCACTGTGGGAGTAGACGTGCTGGCTAGCACAACGCTGAGAATCGCCAAAGCTGACCGTATCGTGATAGACATTTTCACAATGATTGGCTATCAAATAGCAATTATTTAACAAACTACACATTAAAGAATTGTTTTTTGTCTTGTTTGACCACAGCGAATCAATGTTATTAACCATAAACTACGACAGTCTCCAATATGAACTCCAAAACACTTAATGATTGCCAGACATAACTTCAAACGTTTAGTAGATCACTACGATAAGCCAGCCTTTAGTCAGGCAATTGCTAGTCGGATCTCATCGGGCGGGCCAATTATACCAGTCAGTAAGATAGCCGCAGTGGAGACGGCAACGTTCGGGAGTCAGGTGAGAAGGCCATTAATATGTCAACATAGCGACGAACCTGTCATCTTCATCTGAAGCCCTCGAACAGCAAGAAGGGACCGATGCCCGTTCATACAACTGACTACATTACATAACCGACGACACAATAAAAACTGATTGTACCAGTACATTTACTTGCTGTTAGATAGACGTATTGAATATCTAGCAATAGCTTTAACAGAACGACGCCCCCATCATGAGCCTCACCATCATTCATATTGTAATTAAATACAATTACTAATTACCTTTGTTACGATATAACGTTCAATTGTATAATGGACTGTAAGTGGAAATAGGATGTCTAATACGTGGGATCAGCCATTAGCAGATTGAGTATTGCATCTACTATGCATGAGTCTCACTACTGACGTCCGAGCAAGAGACGCACAGGATAAACTTACGACTCGCGGAAGCGATGTTATTGTCGTTTGCTCATATGACCGTGTCATAGACAACAGCTTGAATGATCATGGTGGACATCCCGCAGAGGCGTGATTACGTTGAACTGTAGCCATCATAGCAGCCGATCAGAAGAGCTCTGATACACTCCGAAGGCGAAAATAAAAGAGGTAGACAAAGTGCGACTAGTGTCGATATCGATCTAGCAGTTGGCGCGTGTAGGTCCGTTCCGCCTGAACGATTTTGGCGAACTCCTGAATCTACGCACAACGATAGGACGTCGGACGTTGAGATAGGTTACTGCTAAAATGATCAGCGATAGTGATAAAGCAACAGGACGCCGGATAAGGCGTCATCGAGCATTGGTGTCAGGAAATGAAGTCGCTGAAAGTGAAACTAGCTGCAGGCGTCTCGCGACGACACCGTACAATTACGATGGCGTTAATAAAGGATGACTCTATCTAAGCAGATGTCAATGAAACAGTGTGAACGTTCTATTTGATCGGATATTCATACAACCGCATCGCATTACGTCACTAGTTGACACTCATCCGAAACGTTTTGCTAAGCATTTTGTTCGAACATTAGCAGCAATTTATAGGATTTAATTTGTATTGAAAAAGTTTTTAAGAGCTGAAGGAGTCCTCGTTTAGGAGATTAATCGGCGCACATGCGGATGCTCCCTGCAATGATACTCATATGCAGCTTTGACAAGGGACGGTTCTGTCTGGCTTTATAAAATCCGCCATTACTTCAAACAATAGAAAAAAGTGCATATATTCGTAAAAACCGCAGGACAGTCACCTGACGTCCTATCCTTTGTACCGTCCCTAGGAAGATTATAGTAAAAGGAGCCATTTGGTCTGTTATACATTCAGAATCTGCTTGCTCCAAAATAGCGCAAATTTACATAGAAACCATTTGTAGACACCGTTTGTACGTGAGTCAAAACAGGACAACAATAATAATAAAGTTTCTACACTAATGGATTTACCCTTTTTACTGGTTTCAATGCGACGAAAACGCAGTTCAACTTTTTCTACTAAGAGGTGCTATATTTAGGCTAATAGCGGATTCATTTGCAAATTATCATCTAACTAGATCACCAGAAAACTCTTAAATAGATTCTCCCGAAAACAACGCGTATCTAATAATGCAGATATTAGTATGCCATTGTAAGAAATCACCATCTTGATACTTAAAATATATTGGAAAAAGTAAGTAAACACTGTGCAATAGGAAACTATTCGAACAAGGCTGTAGGAATACGGTCTAAATTCAAATAACGGGTAACATCTTAGGTTGTTTACTCGTTTCGTGTTGTTTGTGTCACAGCTTTTCATAATCAGATCCTTGAAGGTCAGACTTCGAACCAATTGAAAGTGAATTATGTTCAAACAATAACTTATAGTGAGTTATTGCAACGTTGCTAGTAATTGCATTTGCTCAATATTCTACAATATAATTTACTTTGTCATAAAAGATAGATAACATTTGCGCATTTGTAAAAACATAAGTACTCTACTGTTGCGCACATACGTTTGTAGAAATTTCAATAATTTATGAAGTTCTCTACCGAATCATAAAAATCATTACGCCTTTTCGATCCAAAAATTATAAAAAAAAGGCTAACGGGACTTTGGTAGCGAATGCTAACTACGAAAACCCGCAAGATTAGATATCAAAGCTAGAGTCACAGAAAAAGTCTTGTTGATGCCGCTCGGTGAATAACGGTCAAGAATACATAGGTATATAATAATTGGCATCCAATTATTGTTACCAAAACACACGCAACGTTACTCGTTTCTGCAACGTATCAGCAATGGTCATGGCATTAGCAAAAACTGCCCCTGATTATTTTCCATTCTCTGTTGCCGCCGGTGGGTCGGCCAGAATAAATGCATAAAACTCGTTCTCCGTGTTAGCCCAGATGATTTTCTCAAAATCAGAAGCGGTCTGTTTATCGAAGAAAAAATCATAATCAGATGATCGTGGGATTTTTCGTGGGAACAGCACAAATTTCTGTGTACACAAAAAAGACGACTTCGCTATCCGTCTAGGTTAACTGTGATCCATTCCCCAGCCACTACAGAATGGTACGTATGGCGGACCACAACGATAATTGGCTCTACGGTACTCGCCAACGGACAGATTGACTTGAATTTAGGGTCTAACGGCGATGAGGAGCTCCCTTAGTTGGGGAATACGGGTGAGACAAGAGCTGTCCTGCTAACATGCTCGTTGAAATCAATGTGAGGAAAACCAGTAAAAATTTTACAGGCGCACGACTCAGTATGTGATTGGTACGAGCCACAACATGACATGCTATCGGTAAGTGGGTGCACTGCAGCATGATACCAGAAAAGGGCACCCAGCTTTAGCCAAAAAATACTCACGACAAAGACTCGTCCGTTTTCGGTACCCTGCGCGGAACTGCTTGTTGGTAAACTAGCTTACTGTTTCCCATAGGGTGGCTTTCCATGGCCACCAAGGTTGACCGAAATGACTATATTAGCGGCTCATGTGCGCCGAAGTATTATTGTACATATTGGTTGTTCGATTATCAAAGAAAGTCTCTACCTAAGACACGTCACAGCATCATTATGAAGGTTCGATACTTCTGTGCTCATATGTCTCAGAGAGTACCGTCTAAGGCTACTCGAGAATATAGATATTCAACTTGTGAGCCGGTTGTTTAGAGGCGCATTAGCAGAGCACGCAGTACGATGTTGCCTAGGATTAATGTTTACGTTGACACCTTCGATGAAGATGCACGTCGCCCGTGATGATCGCTAATAAGAAAACTGAGATTTAATGTAGACGAGAAACAACTTCTAATAATTACATCCGTACTTAAATTATTCAGAATTTAAAATAGGAGGCGAGTTTTCATTAAGGCCGACTTGCAATGTTTTTGTTTAGAAATGTTGTTTGTCTATGCTATCAAATGCACACCCATAATATTTTACTGGATGATCAACGGAGTCCGGTGAAAAAATTCACTGCCTCCTTGCTTTTGTTTCTGCTCCTTTTTTTATCGGAATTAACCACAAAAAAAACGTGCGTAATTCTGATTCTTGCAGGCCTTCGTTGCATGCGCCACTATCCTGTTACTCTGCTTAGGTTCTGTCAAAGCCGGCGGAGGACAATCGAACTCATTGCGAAAGCAAGACGTAAGTTAGAATATGTTTGCTAATAGCTTTCTTGGCTTACTTTTTCACAATCATTAATAAGGATACGTTAACCTGATATGATAAAGTTATAGCAGTATCATCTATGCTCAATTAAATGAGTAAATTTCAAGAAGGAGACTAAAATTCGAGGCGCCATTACCGATCGACACGCAAAATAATGACCTTAAATGCTTTCCTCTAAAATAACCTAACTCGACTAGTTATTAAAAAATAATGCTTCATATCTTTAATGAATATTGATTACATCTATAACAAATCAATATCAGCCTCGAAAATGGGGCCTTCGTTTAGTGAGTAAACAAATAAGTATACTTTAGACAAAAAACAACCCAATTGGACGGCCATGACGGCGATTCGTAAAAAGTGTGATAATAAAAAGTCGAACTGAATTCCCAGGACTATGGAAATTATGCTTTTTCGTACGACATTGCTGATAAGCATGGGGCTGTTAACGGAAGAAAAGAATATGGCGGCCCTCACGGCGTTTCCGGTTCATACTACATCGGTGATATTGATGGACGTCATAGAACAGTGCATTATGTCGCCGACAAAATCGGATTCCGCGCGCAAATTAAAACCAATGAACCTGGAACTAAGGTTTGTCTAAACTGAGCGATGCGAAGTCCTGGCTAGATTATCGTACCGGACTCGGTAGACGAATCCTACAACCGTCAATTCTGTCGGTTGATTTTTTTTCGATATATAACAAAATATCATACATGAACTTGCCCACCTAAACTCCAAACGTACATAAGGTCAGAAGCATCTTTTCCCTACGCCATTACCTATTTTTAGGTAAATCGGTTGGTAAAAAATTCTAATTTGAACTTTGTATTATTATTATTATTGCTGCATAATTATGATTTATCAATGGGAGATAGTTGACTTACATTTAGGCTTATATTTGGCACGTCCTTTAATTTGGCAACAATAATTAGAAATGCGGATGTGCAAGCTAATCTAACAACATAGGTTTTTCATTTGAAAGTAATTATTAGTACTGACCCTATCTAATCCTGTTGGAGATAAAAAGCCGAACTTGTATACTCTTGCATACGCCAACATTCGAAGTTTCCGCTGTAACGTACCTATACTATTTGCCACCTGTTTCAGACAACGTATGCCGCAAGTGCTGCTTATGCATCTGCAAACGGCAACACAGCGCTCGCTGGGGGCTATTACGCGGACCTTATCAGTTACAAGCATGGATCCACGGGGTATAACCATGGAGGCTATGGACATGCTGTCTCTTACGGGACTTATGGTGCTGCAGGCCCTGTGTTCGACGGCCACGGCGGATTTGGTCACGGGATGGTGGGATATGAACATTCTATCGCCCACGGGCACCACGGCGGTTCCATTAGAATACACGGAGGTTCTGGGCCTTTTTATAGATAAACCTGCAGAAAGATTGGGTTAAGCTCTTCGAACCGAGTGACACCATAGAATTGACTTATTCTACTCTGAAGTATTTTACTGTTTCCTTTAATTTACATTTTGCGTACTAGAAATGTCCTTTTCGTACCCTCTAACGCATGCTTCGCTGTATATCCCTTTGTTCTCAGGTTTTTGAAAAATATTTATATTCAGTATTTATCTTTATTTATTTAGACCAAATATAGCCAATAATATATACTACCTAAGAGCTATCATTAGGACAAATTAAACTTTCACTTTTTAAAATGAACTGCTATTTAGTCTTAAACCATATTGATTCTTAGCTATTCACAATAGAGATAAAACCCAACGTTTGTTTGTTACGTAAAGTGTTTTCGTTTGCAAATCTAGCCTTTCTATTGAAAATAGCCTATACAACTCGCCCCTAGATTCAACATATACATATATATTCTTACGTAATTTATAACATAATGTACTCTTTGAGTTTGTCTACCTACAAATAACTAAAATTCAATGCCTATCTGAAGCACGAGAAGAAGTTCTACTTGTTCAGTGTTTAATTGAGTGCTATGGCAACGCTCCAAAAGGGATTTAACATAATAATCAAAATGATGACAATCTTTATCGCTGTCATTCTTTATCTAAATGTCGTGTTGGCTTAGAATGGGGTCAACAAAGTGTTTTTGTGGCACCTCACAAAGCCACCATTACGACTTAAAACTACCGCCTGTTGGACGTCAGGTACGTTGGGTACTACAGCTAGGTCTATTTCGTGGATATTAGGTCGATTAGTAGGTAATCAAACGGACAGATAGAACACGAGTTCAGAAAGAGCTGTGAATTTATTCTTCTACTGAATGTTCGTGCCTCACGACATTCATCTGAAACGGTAACTGGCTCGTACCATAAATAAGTATGTTACACTTAGTACTTCCGCTAAGCATTGTTTCAAACGGCTGCTTCCGCAATATAAAACAAAGTCCAGACCCGTTTTTGAACTAAGAACACTTCCAGTATCCATAAGTGTAGTGGGCAAAAAATTATTACTGCATCATCATAGAAACTTTTTGTTGTTAGGGCCATACCGTAATGGTCAAATTATAAAATCAGGTACGTCCAAGATCTCGAGTTTCTTGTCTGAGGCACAACTAACTCTTTGCCCAGTAGGCTCAAGCAGGCAGGACAAATTAGCAACAAAATGGATATCGAAGTGTTTCGATGAATTATAACGTTTTGTGGGAGCAAACTAGGTTCTAGATTTTCTGGCGGTACTAGATGCCTTAATACCAACGTAGTGTGCCTGCTAACCTTAAAGACACGTGGTAATCTGCGTTCGAATCCGGGGATAGGCAAACGTTTCTTACTGGGACCCACCGGTCTAATGCCGGACGTAAAACTCGAAATTTTTAGGTGCCCCAATATGTCTCTGCATTGGGGGATCAAATATTGGCTTCATGCTTCTCCGTCGTCAATTTCAAGATTTAAGTTTTTCATTTTCAGCAGCCCTACAAATTACATTCCAATCGGTCTGGTTTAAATCTATCTAAGTACGATACAGAATAACGGAATAAAGATGCGTGCAACATATATCATTTATTTATTGTACTTATTTTTGTGTAGAAAAGATGTATCCACTTCAACAGCAGTTTTCCCTAAAATTCTAAGTATACTTGTCTTCATAAAAATTAGATGTTAAGATATAGTGTTACTCACAGACGTATGGCTAATGCACATAACGTGGTAAAAAAAAAACTAAAATGTTTGTTGAAAGTTGAATATGTGTAGGAACTTTGCTTGCTTGCTGCAGCAGTTAGGAGTAACTTTTTTTTTCTTTAAAGATTTAAACACGTTTCATATCGCCAGAATGATCTCGGCGATCCTTACCTCGAATTGTAACTAACCAATCCTACCTTTTAAGGCGATAAATCTTTTTTGTTAAGCTTAACATAAGCTTTACCCGATCTAGTATATTCAATGTATTCACATTTCTAGAGGCTCACCTTAGTTTCACAGTTGCTTACTGATGGTTCGGTTAGCTGGCTATAATAAAAATGTACGACGAATATTCTTAGATCTAAGATGTAACAATGAGATTATGTCCTTTGTTCATTAAGAAATATCGATGATCGGCTGTAATTAACATCGTATATTAAACAGGACATAACTAACTTCAAACAATTAGTTAATTATTAAAAAAGAAATTAACGGTAAATATAGATGAAATTTCAATTAATCGCTGCTTCATTAAATCTATCTATGTTGGTCAAATTTCGAAATTTGTATTAACTATAGATGCAGCAAATGTGCTACTGATGCGTTCTGATAGTGGCTTTGGAGAAGTACTCATTATCAGCAGTGCTCCAATAATTAACCGATAACAGTACATAGTGTAACATTATTCGAGACTATGCATAGAATGCTTTATTTCCACGTTCTGTTCAGGGAAAATGATTAAAACACGCGGGACGTTTGTTATGACGATCTGTGTGTTGTGCATCCCCCTTGGTTCTCTTTACAAAGCAACCCATAAGAATGCAAATTAGAACTATAACTAGTTCTGATATTTGCTAGCCTAGCCATCGTTGCAAAAGCTGAATAAGGCGGTAGAAATCGACTCGGTACTCGAACACTCAATTGCCCATCGAGGTTACGCTGAATTCCGTAGAGGCCATCATGCTCACTTCTACGGAAAAACAAAAGTTTCTGGCTGTATATGTATGTATATATGTGCTACTACGAACAAATGACAATGAAAAGTAAAATCAATTTCTTCAGTATGTTTTCTATTTTCTTAAGAACGTTTATGAACGTACATACTCCCTATACAGGGCATTTCGAAACGATTACAAATGAAGCGATGAAAGCCTCTAAAACGCTCGTATACGCTTACGCTAAGGATCTGCTGTGATACTGGAAATCAATTTGCTGAGAACTACAAATTTCTCTTATTGAACCTGCCAACATACTAATCGTTAGCGTTAGTATTTCGCGTAACATTGTAAAGTGGCTGATATTGGCCATGTCAATTGTATTGGTATTAATAAAACCTAACACAGCGTAAATTTTGGAAGGAGGTACCTCTAGCTTTGTTAATATTAGTTGGAAATGGCAGGAATAAGTTTCTTTTTCTGCGCAAGTTATCCTATGGCATATATGGATGAAGATTCTATAGGATTTGAAGTTTGTTCTCGAGAAATCGGTCAGGTTTTAAGTTAGGCGACATATTAGTATTACCTTTCAAAAATTATCTTCTAAAAAAGCTAGGGCTACTTCTGCATTATTCCGTTCTGCCATAATGCCATCGTGTTGAAAATTTCTTTGCTTAAACCCGTGCAAGACGGGGAGATCTATACTTGACAAAAGTTGTCTCACATTAAAAGTTTCACGTACAACAAGACAAAAACAGGTTCATTGTTGTTCGCGCAGGCTGCACAGCTACACTTATTGCATAACTTCGGCGCGTCTTCATCTTTTGAACAGCTCTAACCTACGGAAGAGCCCTGCAGTGGGTTAACGTTAACTGACGGAACCATTAACGGTACCATGTCTCGATAAACAGCTGTTTGCCAAATAACGTCCATGGAAGGCAGCAGGACCCCTAGTCCAGCCTGTATACAATGGGCGAACATGCTATCGGATAACAATAGATTTATGGAGAGCAGGAGATCGTCTCGATGCAGAGCGGCTTTTTCCGAACTTGTCAGCTTCATGAAACTTTGGCCATGTTAAGTCAACCAACGACGTCTATCTCAGTCGGCAGCTTGACAAGTTCGGTCGTCGTCTATACCCCATCAGCATGACAACTAGTCGTGGAGGTAAAATACTAGCTGTTGTTCCAGAGAATGTACGTGAGACAAGTGTCGGCACTGACATCGTAGGGGAAAACATCCAGTTCTTGGGAACAGTTCTTTAAGTGGTGAAGCTCGTCGCTTAACAATATTACATCGCCTGACTGTTATGGTGCTACAAGGATCGACTTAATCCATATGGTATGCATGGCTATTCGTTGCGCAACAAACAAAACGATTAACCTATTGTGTAATAGTACGCCTTTACCACTTTATTATTTTTCATACCAAATATGTTTGTCTATAATAATATAATAACTTCAGAAAGTATATGATATTTTCCTATGTATCTGTATGATACTATGGATAAACAACCATATTCTTTGTACATAACTAGACCATGCACTGCTTATCGTGGTTTTAAGCCAATACAATATCTGTAGTACAAATGCGATATAGAGAAATTAACACAGATTGCAAGAAAGCAAACGGAAGATACTGATCTTATCACAAAATCAAATTAAATTTATAAGAGGATTCGTGTCGTACGAAAAAATGCATACCTTCAGTACCGTATCTTAATTTTCTTATCCATGTAATGACTTAGCACACGTGTTGCGACTTTTGGTAGAAAAATAGGGTTTCTACTCCTTCAGAAGGTAACATAATTCGATACTGTCTTTTAAATGGCTCTTAGACAGATTGTGGTAGTTATTGCATGAAAACTATGCTATGAGACTAAAAATCCCCTTTCAAGAAATCTTGACTACCATTTTAAGGCTTGTAGACACTATATACGCTGTGCTGCTCAATTTCGTCAACCGGATTCGATACGTTTAACTTTAATACACCCATCTCTACTTCTAACATCTCGCATAAACTATATGTGACACGCAATAAAAAAAAAGCTAAACTTTATACTTCAAATTGGTCTAATGACTTTATCTCCTAGGACTGTAACTGATGAGAGCGCATTTCCAATGAGATTATGATGTATATTAAGTATGGTCGCCTATATTTGAATAATCTATAATGCTATTAAATGCCTATTCTTTAGTTGATCGATTTTACTATGTAATTAAATCGAAACATACTTAAGCGATAATCAGATGAGCAAGTAAGAACACGTAACACAAAGTCCTTCCTGACGCAGTTCAGTGATTACATCACCGTTATATGCCTTTGTATGCGAGGTTCCTCTTTACATGAGAATAATACTTGTATCAGCAGCTATCTATAGGCAAAATCGTAGAACAAACTATTTAAATATACGTTAAAAAAAATACGTTTAAATGGGTACAGCAAAGTCCAAAAGATTGTGCAAGGATTCCCTGTACTTGGGATTAATGGTGATGAAATTCACTGAATATTTATTTACAGCAAACGTAGCTAAAAACAATGATGTCTTCTTACTGCATTTAATAGTCTAGTCGATAATAAAACAAGATCTTATCTATGTATACACTCTATAAAACCAATCTATAATAAATCTATGTATATTAATTTGGCAAAACCTTCACAGTTTGTCTGGAGTTCCAGTGGATTGCTTAGGCTGACTATACAATGGGCTTTCTAACTGAAACACTTAGCCAACCTATATTTGCAGCTCAAGGTAAATTAAATGGCTGATAGTTCATAATAGGTACACTATGAAGTGCTACGATAAACTGTATTGGACGAGTATCGTTACCTTTCATCGCTTGCTGAGTACTCACCGATGCCCCTTTTGCAAATGATTGCCCGCTAGTGTTTTCAACCTGTTGGGTCGCGAAAAGCTGTCTTCCTGGCTACATTTTTTTTTTATATCGTTCTACATCGATCGGCGTGGGATTATCACTCAGCTGCTTGATATAAATAAAATTATTTGTAATAATAGTGAAACCTTCATTTAATGTGTGGAGATATCTTTGCTTATCTTTAAGAAGATTCTTTTAATTTACTACCTTTATCTATCTAGCATCAACTCAGTATTTTTTTGAAAAAGTACTTATTTAGGTGGTATACAATATGATTAATTTATGTATGTAATTTATTCTTTTCCTGACTATTATGTCTGGTCACAGGGAATCTTCGCTTTGTAATCACAGCCACGATGTTCACTGCACTAAAGAAGCTCGTGGGCAATGAAAATACGGCGAACGGCGCGACCCCGTCAGGTGGTTCCAGTCCTAGGTCTGGTCAGCCTGCTGCAATCGATCGGAGCCTCCAGAAAATGTTTGCTAAAGGAGTTCATTATAACAGTATGTAAACCACTTATAAAGGTGATGATTATAGATGCGGGTGTATTTTCTCTGCAGTGATAATAAGCAGACAGTTCCATACAGCAAGATTGCCGTACTAATTTACCATAGATAGATTTCCGCGCCCCCGGCTAGGGCCGTCCTTAGGCCGTAGTTAGAACTGTACATGTGAAGTATGTAACGGCCATGCCTATCTGTACGTTCATGCAGCATTCCTAATCAACTGCACCTGTGCAAATACCTAGGTCAGACGCTAGTTTGAGTTAGGCAATTACACCTGCCTTCGACAATAAAATCTCGCAAACGCTATCCGTTTTCTCTGGTTTATCCGACAATGAATTCTGCAAAGCAAGCTAGAAATTGCTGGCTTAAACCCCACCAGTACAATATACTACATAAACAAACTAAATTAATATTATGACTGTTTTACATTAATTTAAAGTACAACCTAAAGTAAAGACATTTTAGGTGGCATTAATGATTGGTATTCTTTTTAAAATTTCGCTGAACTTTAGCTAAACGCAGACGCCGACGAACTATGATATATTATACTAAAGAAGGCATTACTAAATGGATCTATGTATTTTCACACAGCATTAAGTTTAACTTATATTTTACTCGTTTTAGTGAAAATCGTTATTAAAGGCGATCGAAACGTGGGAAAAACATGTTTATGGCGTCGTCTTCAAGGCGCAAAATTTGAATCTGACTACGCGCCAACGAACGAAATTCAAGTGTGTCACATACAGTGGAGCTACAAGGCCACTGACGATATCGTTAAGGTTGGTTATACACTAGAAGCCACGATTCTCTCTTTCCTTGTCATTATTTATGATAACAATAGCTCGTACTAGTACACGCGTATTTGTAGTTTTTTTTTTACAACAGCTAGTGCTGAGAAATATTGGAAGATTGCATTCGATACGAATCGAGTTTGAGGCGACTTAAATCAATATATTTATTGAAATTTAAAGAACAATCAAGATATTGAACAATGTTATTAGATACTGGCGTCGTCCTCTAACCGAAAAAAAAATGAGTACAGAGCTGTCCTTTTCGGCTAAAATGATAAAACACATGTACAGTTATGGACTTAAAATTTACATATCATAGGTGGAAATTTGGGATGTGGTGGACAAGGGACGCAAAAGGCGGCCACTTGATGGTCTAAAGCTGAATGGGGCTCTACAGGTCACGCAAGTGCCTGAAGTCGTCACGGCACTTGACGCGGAATTTATCGACGTCTATAAGGTTAGTCTAAGTGATCTTCTTGACACCTATTATTGACGACCCGTTCAGTGGGTGACTGTAAGCCGTTTAGCAGGTGTAGTTCCAGTATTTTGGCGTCTCATGTCTGGCTAGAATAAATTTAGCAATCAGTAAGCATCATGCTATAACTGTTATTTTTTAGGGTACAAATGGGGTGATAATGGTGTTAGATATGACGAAGGCATGGACGTTCGAATATGTTCAGCGTGAACTTCCCAAAGTGCCTGAACATATACCAGTGCTTGTGTTAAATAATCATCTGGATATGAAACATCACAGGTATGTATTAAAATAGTTAAATCAAATTATTCATTAAGTTTAGATACGACAACTTAATGAATTCTCTGAAAATTCTTTGTATATTTGCTTTTCCTGTTTTTATAGATAAGAGCATGTATTGTAAAATGAAAAATACTGTAAAAAGATCAGTAAGCAAAACGTTCTAAGAAAATAATGATGAATTCTGCTTAAAAACTTCTTAGCGGTTTGAGATTTCACTCAAAATTTGAAACTTACTAGGTTTCTCTTTTTGTACCTCTTTCTCTGCTGTTTTTTTTTTTAATTCTCGAATCTGCGCTATTTTCTAAATAATTATTTTAAGATGAATTTGGAAAAACAACTGCATTGAAGTTTACTATCCATAGCTTTCCGTATCGTTGCGTAACCGAACGAAAACTCTGCATCTAGACTTCAGTACTTCGATGGTTAGATTTACCCACAGGATTTTTCATGAGATCTGTAAACTTAGAGCTCCTAGCAAATCAACCTCAGATCTCAAATCAGTCTCTGGCCAACGTTGGGTTCGGGCTTTCGAAAAACCTGGTCAATTTGCTTTGAGAAACGTGTCTCCCTGGATTACTGGTATCATGGGGCTCATATTGAAATGTTAGCAAAACAGCAGTGGTATGATGCTAGCATTTTTTCATCGCTACAACACGCTGCGACGTACAATATTCGGTTACGTGGCAAAACGCTATCGCGTTGTATGGGTTCTTTAGTGTGATCTAGCTACTACTGACTCAACTCTGACTCATCTAAATTCGATAAGACCGTAGCAGTTACACCGATATTGATCTAGACAGAAGCATTTCAAACGTAAATGCCCAAAAACGACTGTTGTCTATTATTTACGTTGGCAGAGCGGTGAGTGCTGATCAGGTGAAGTTCTTTGTCGAAGGCCTCGAGCGTGGTGGCACTCCCATACGTTACGCAGAATCGTCGATGAGTAACGGATTCGGACTACGCTTTCTGCACAAGTTCTTCAACATACCATTTTTACAGGTTCAACACATTGTATCAATACTGTTTAATATATTTTGGCCACCATAGTTAATTGTCAATTATCAAAACACATTCGCGATAACCGCCTACTACTTTTACAATTTTTTAGATAGTTTGTTTTCAAAAATATACATATATTATTAGCGTTTCATATCCTAGCGTTCTAAAGCAATCAATGCCAGGCCCCAGATAGGGACAGTGAGTGCTGACCGAGAAGTAATTCTATAAATTTTAGTATCCAATTACGATTTGATCAACAATATAGTGATTTCCGATTTCGCATATAATTAAATGCTATGCGCTCTACTTTCGAATCCGCCGTTAGGCACGGCATCTAATGGAGTTTCGTAATAATAGGAATAACAATGACACGAATACTAATAGTCGTAAAATATTGGTCGTTATTCTTCACTTAACAACCAGTGTTTTATAACATGCTGGCTCAATTAGTATTTTTATTATTACTATTGTTCTTTATCAATTTTCTCACAGCTGCAACGAGAGTCTCTTCTAGGCCAGCTCGAACGAAATAGGTGTGAGATGGATGCAACTTGTGAAGAATTAGACTTACTGTTGGAAAGCGACGAGACCAATTACGATCTGTTCGTTGATCGTCTGGGACAGCGAAGGCGGCAAGTGGCCGACAGCTGCGCCAATAGTGAGTTATGGTTTTATTCTTGATCTAAATATATATTCACGAATATTTATAGTCATTGAGAACCATAAATTGCTAATTAAAAATACTGTTGAAATATGCGTGGAGTGTGCACATAAATATTGATAAATTTTTGCCAAAGAAACGTTCCCTACTCCTCACTTTTCGTCCCATTTGCGGGCATCGATTCATGCGACAATTGGATGTATGCACATATGGTTAGTATATCTAATTTTTATGATTTAATATGTATTATTTGTTCGAAATTACACGCAACTTTCAGTCACCATGGTCCCAGGTGCAGCTCCAGGTAAAATCACAGGTGGTGGCGTTCTCCCAGCGAAACTCCCTAAAAGTGTTTCACTTCCGGCGGAGATAACAAACACAATTCTCAACAAGAGAGCACTCAATCATCACCAGCCGACGTCGCCAGTTGCGCCCGAGAAGGAGGAGCTACCACCGCCAAAACAGGCTTACACGCAGAGAGCATATCGCTCACCAGATGATTATGTCAATGAAGCAATGGGTGGAGGTGACTTGAACAAATTTCTCGAAGATACTGAGGAGGAACTCTCGAAAGAAGCCAGCCCCGAAAGCGGCAGTGATGATGAAACCGCAGGCAACCCACTCGTGTGTGGATTTCAGGATGAGCTTGACCCTGAAGACCTAATCCCAGCAAAGATACTTTCAAAAGGTGCAAGTCCGCTCAATGCCACGGAAGCTAATACGAATAAAATTCCTTCAATCGATCCTGCGGCAAGGCAACCAAAGCATAACTCTGCCCAAAATAGTGCTTTTAATAGTGACGAGCCAGCTTCGAAACCCGTTCCTACACACAGCGCACAGGAACCATTCGAACCACCATCAGCAACATCCTCATTTGAAAAGTCTATTGAGAATTCCCCTGCAGCTAAAGTTATTGAAGACCGTGCCAGCCAAACGGGTTCGATAAAAGATGATTTCGCTGTGGAGTTAAAGCTTGAAAGGGAAGAACCTGATGGTGAGTGATTTGCGCAATTTTATCACCGAATAATTCACGTAAGAATCGAAAGTTAACGTGTTGATCATTTTGTCTGGCTGGATCGGTTAAACCTGACTGGGCTAGTACTAGTCAAACCTTTGAGCGGATACTTAATTTAAGAACAATTACTGCTCGTGGTTTTGTGTCACAGCTTCGAGTAAAGACCGTTTCCATTCGCGTCTATAGGCACCAGTTCTCCGGCTGAGTGGCATCCGCACGACCTTGATCAGTTGGAAAAACAGGCATTCGATAGGCTTTCATCGCCAGAGGAGGTCGTACTAGAGGCCAAAGATATCGTGGACGGCAAGGAGAAACGGAAGCATCGAAAATCCTCTTACTCTAAGAAGTTAAAAAAGGTGATTCAAGACAGCACACAAAAGATAATAAATCAAACATGGCAGTAACGATATCAATTGAAATCATTGTAGCATTATTATATTGTTGTAAAGAACTAGCACAGAGTAGCTCTGGGGCGATGCACCTGTTACCATCGCATTCGGCACAAATCGATTGTTTAAACAAGTGACATTTTGGCCGTTCAACCGTCCGTGCTGGCCACCGTTTCGCACAAATAGTAGCACACGCATAGAACAAGTTCTCGAAGGCGTTTTTTGTGGTTTTAAGCGAGAAAAATGTTTCCTCGGCTCTCACTTCTTTCAATACAGTGTCGGTTGATTAAATCTATACGCGGATAAATATCAGATCTGGCTTCTCATTTTCAAATTTTTTTGCGCTAGTTGATATAAATGCAACTTTAAATTGTCAAAGTGTATCATCGGATAGCATGATTGAATTTTCTTATCCAAGCCGGTTCATTTCTTTCGTCGGTGCAATGTCAACGACTGCTCAACTGAGTGTACATTATAGAATGTCATGGGCATCTTTATAAGCTAACGAAAATGATATGTTTTGCTTTAGGAGAAATCATCGTCAGCCAAAGAACGGGCAACAGTTGAAGAATACGGCTCAGGTGGTTCCGGTGAAGATAAAAAAAAAAAGAAAAAGAAAAAAAAAAAACCTAAAGACAACGAGAAACTGGATGGGCGTAAATTGATTGAAGAAGACCCATTGGAGGCTTTTCTTAACGATCGTTCACACTATGAAGCAATCTAGGTTTGAGGAAGCACTATTTTAGATCATACTAGAATCGATAACTTCACCATTTATAGACGAAGGACTTGCTTGGAAATGACTCTTCTATCCAACTTGACATTATCAAGAGTAATAAATATGACAGTGATTGATGAACACATTGACTCGGTAGTAGATAGGAACGCATTTCGGTGAAGACGTAGATAGCTAAGTTACAGCTAGCTGAATTTCAAGAGGAGCCGGAGAGAATCTGACTCGACCGTTACGCCGTTCTTTCTGCCAACGAATCAACCAGATTTAAGAAAATGTAAACATATATAACAGGATGTAAACATATATTGCACATCATGACGAATGAGTGAAGTGACAAACTTAGATATACCCTCTGAGCAAAAAACCTGTTAACTTTGATGAGGACGTGCACGTATTCCTCCACGTCGATTTTTCTGGTTGTATGGTGAGATAGTGGACGCTCGTACGCTGATAACTTATCACAAAAAAGTCACTGTTCAAACTATGTTGTTACATCGACATCTGTAAATGTTTTTTTTTAATTTCCAGTAAAATGTTATAGTGTTGTTAGTTAAATGAAGTTTATGAAAATATGTTTTTGATAATATAATTCAAGTGCACATTTGCATCCGCTGCACATTCAAAACGTTACGGTAACGAAACATTTATTTAAGATAGACATAAATTTCTGTAGTACTTGAATTGATCATAGGCCAAAACTACCACGTTCTGTCTATAGAAAACAATAGATAGCCTAATAAAAAAAAGTACCCACATGAAAGACGGCTTGGTTGATGTAAAACTTCTGGCGCCTTGCCTACGATTGTCCATAACAGTAACGGTTTTTACCGATATGATGTTTATTTATGCGGTATTAAATGCTGCTTTTTAGTGCAAAGCCGGCAGGCATGTAGTCATCGAGTGGCAATTGGTTTCATCTAATTCTGATAGAAACAAACATGAAACTGCCAGCTGAGGGCTTAGAAAAGCAAATTAAATATCGTGAATCTGGTTTGTTTAATTCAAGGAAAGACTATCGCTGTCGCCAGCACAGGGGGCGACAATCAGCTTACGGTCATAGATATCAACTGATTAACTAGCAGCTTCACTGAAACATTGTATCTTAATGCAAGTTTACGTACGACGAAAAACAAATCGGCATTTTGTGCCGAAATGTCACTCGACGGGCGAACAGTGAGGGCTTTGTGTTCCGTTGTTGCTGGATATAACGAATCAATCAATATCGTTTTATTCAACCTCTTCCACATGCAGAGAAGAGGATCATTAAGCCAAATGTGGAACATGGACAAATGTCTTAATGACTTACCGCCATCGCCTCCTAATTTAGAAAAGCGAGTTATCCTTTTATTTCTATATTGCTATGATGGGCTGAATAGAGAAAAATGGTTCTGCAAAGTGAAATAACATATTGTTACATATTTAGTTTTAACTAAAAATAGAGCGGTAGGTAGTCTGTACAACGGAAATACAAAAATGAAACTAAGAAATTAAGCAATGAAGGATTTTGCCGAAATATATGATGGGTAGATTAGACTTTACCTACAAAAGCATTGCAGTTCTCTTAATCAACATATCTTTAGTGTGGGGTTGTTCAAATGAGCCTGGCTCCCTGACTGAAAGCATGGACAGGTGAGGCTAGCGGAGTATTTAGTCCGTGGTGGAAGTTATATAGGCCCAATATGTGCGCGCTTAAACATTAAGTTCCTCCAACTTATTTACACGTCTTACAGAATGTTAAACTTCTCCAAGAAAGTCATTTTTCGTTTAAGCTAACTTGTGCTACGTTTTAATTTGATTACTTTGCAACCAATTTGTCGGCCTAAGAAAGGTATCACAAGCAATCGTCAATCTTCTCCGCTCAAAGTGCCTAAATGTGTGTCTTTAGACGTGGTAAATGGAGAGCTGCCCTCAAACCCATTAGGTTCAGGACCTGTTAATCAATATAACTCTTGGACAGTTTCCTTTAAAGTTGTACAATTTAGTGGCTCGAGAAGCTAAGAAAAGGCAGCTTTACCACAAATAAAAAAGAAATTGAAACTGTCAAAAATAATGACTGTCTTGAATTTTGACCGGTGTGGTTTAGCTTGATTGATGTTACTTAGCTGAAGTTATCTGACCGTGGCTGAGTTCAGTTTGAATGAATTTGTTTCTCTGTTGAAATCTACGGCTCACAGGTGATGCTAGCACATGACATATAATAGCAAATACTATAATAGAAATGCTCAATGATGCATAACAGCGCGCACTACGTGCAACATCAGAGATTGGCATTTTTTGGTTGAGTATATACGAGTTAATCAACGCTGAGGAATAAACAATTGAAAAGAAAATGACATTCTGTCCGTAACTATATATAGCAGTTGTTTCTACTCTAAGTCTGTATGCTTATGCTGTCTATACTTTTTACGCTTGGGTGTCGCACGTACTAAGCGGGGCGAAACAACCAAGTCTAAGACTGGATCACTGAGAGACAAGGAAACATCAAGATGATGGAAATTGCTATTGGACGCATATGATTCATTCGTCTATATATTAAGTATAGTAACTGGCATAATCTATGTATCAACCGGTGTATCGCAAAGACGGAGAATATGCTATAATATAGTAAACACCGTAATGCTTACTTCATAATAATAATATAATAAGGTATGCTATACCTCTGCGAATCATATTAGATATGAATGCGAAACAATCATCGAGAGAAAAGCACGCCACAGAATGGGTATAAGCAATGGAAAAAGTCAGTGACAAAGTAATAACGTTAGTTTCAGATGTAACGACTCCCGTTTGCGATCTAAAAATGTTTGCCTGCCATTGTTTTATGTATCTGTTTGCGTGCATGTATGATTAATGGCAAGTTATTTAAAATGAACTTTCCATGAAGGTCGTTCTGAATTCTTATGGGAAAACACACAGCCACCCTCCCAATTTATCCTAAACTCAAAATTGAGTTCTTTGGAAGTAGTTTATAACCAGTTCTAGTCACTGTAGTATCAATGCACCAAATGCAGAGCAGCGCTTGAAGAATAGACGCTTGCTTTTACTGATTGAACTGGGCGTTAATGGTGTCACTACTGTCTGGTCATGCTACGGAAATGCTTAAAAGAATTTACAATTAGAGGGCTACTATATACGTGCATAAGAAACAAGACTTAAAGGTAGATATTTCCGAGAAATCAGACAACAGACAGAAATCTAAGTTGTCGGTAATGCGACAAGGATCACTGAAAAATATATCATTCGGATGTGACTGAGATAATTTTATATTCATTATATTTTATAAATAATTTGTATAGAAAAAATCCGTGTCTTATCGTAACGTTAAATGCGGAATTGTTCGTTGAATACAACCACAGAAATCGTAAAATATACACCTATTTAGATGAGATGCCCAAAAAACTAATTTTTTCGTGTAAATACTGTATGTTGTAAGGTTTTGTTAATCACTGACTATAACCGTGAACCCAATGTAAATGTTCTACAGTTTCTCAATAAAATTTAAATTTCGAAATTTATATTTCGAATCTTGAATTCCAAACTTTACGGAAAACTCGTATCCTTGATTCGGTGATCTATTTCGTTGCATGCATATTCATACATCAGTTTATATTATATATACGTTATTAAAACTAGATCAATTATTAATGGAGGCTTCTCTAGATTTAGTAAAATACAAAACACCAGAGTCGCTTCAAACAGTAATTTATTACTCAAAACTCGCATATAGATAATAAAATCCAGCCATTATTTCTGTTTGCGAGAATCTCTGATCATAGTTTTCTGTTCTTGAGATGTCGCAGACATTAATTTAGAGCCTAGGGTAGATATATTTTTGGGCAAGCGCCGGTACAGGCGATCCTGATGGGATTCCTGGGAACGGCCCTGAAGAGGCGGCGATGTCTAGATGCGAATACGCGATGGGATTTGCACTATCGCACCCATGCGCATCAAGACCGGCGACACGAATCAGGAAAGCCGCTGGGAATTGGTGTCCACGTGGTGTGGACGCAGAACTTTTGTTATTGCACTGGAGAACATCTTCGTACTCGGACTTGCCTTCGACCATTAAGAAGTCCTCTCGACGAAGTGTCGAAATCTCAAACATATCGGCAATCTGCTCTCCTGCAGTCTGCAGGGCCTATGGATTCAAAGCAACAAAATCTCCTCGCTTGAATTGCTTGACTAATTGTATAGGTATACCACTGATGTCAGCAGTACTATTATTTCGCCTTCAGTTTGCCTTATTAATTGTGCATTATATTGCCTAAGTTCATACAGTACAATTAAATGAAAATAATTGTTATAGACGAATAGTATAATAGTTTTTTTTCTTTTTTAATAATAGTTTTACTTCTTTTTTAAAACATAAATAATACACACATCGATAAAGGTGTTTAAAACTAGTCATGCTATTCAAACAAAAAAGAATCACATGAGCATTTTATTATTAGCCTTTATATATAAAGTGATTAGTACTTAAACATACCTGCGATGAATTTTTTGCTTTCGCCGGCCCGTTGTCTAGCGTGACCGAGTAAGGCTCACCAACGGCGATACAAGCGTGAGAAGTTAGCGTGGCAATAGTGTATAGATGAGCTTTAGCAGACACACCAGCCTCCAAAATACGTTCCTTCATCTCTGCTAAAGCATCAACCATTGCCATTCGACCTTCGGCGTCCGTGTTACCAATCCTAGGGAAGATCAGCGACAGTCGTCAACAAATGGACTACAGATCTTTTTATAATAAAATATATAGCTGTAAAACAGCTATGGGCTGATCATGAAAAACAACGTTCCCCTACCTGACACGAACTCCGGCCCTCGATGTGATCAGTTCATCAGCAACGTAACTATCCGATCCGACCGAGTTCCTGACCATACACATGGCTCCCAAGACGCGGAGATTTTTAGGCTTGGTGACTGCGAGGATCTTGAAGAAGCCAGCAACAGCGGCTGCGCCGCACTTATCACGGTGCATTCCAACCATAACACCTCCAGCCTTGATGTCGGCACCCCCGGTATCGAAGGTCACACCCTTGCCAATAAGAGCAACAACCTTGCGGAATACCACGGGGATGATGCGCACCGTAATTTTAATCAAACACTTGTTACTTATGCAAAACAAAAAAATATGACGTTTTTGCCGGTTGTAACTTCCTCAACTGCTACTTATTAATTGGGTTCATCTATATATACAAGATTACGTAGATCTGTTTTAGTGAGATTACCTCTTCGGCAGTCCCTTCGTTGTATTCAAGCAAAATCATTCGGGCATTGTGACGCTTCACGTGGCTTGCGCATCGGTCAACGGCAGCTAAACAGGGATAATTTGCCTCAAGCTGTTCGCGATTAGCTATCACCTAAAACAAAGTAGGAGCTTCTTAGCGACAAATGCCTGGTTTCTACTTCCAATATTCCAATATTTTGAATCGCCATAATAGCTAGTACTGTGATAATACCGTAATCCACAGTTAAATTCATTATGTGCTTAAATTAAGGGAAAACTGAAATGTTGAATCTCAACTGAAAATACACGAAGAAACAGCTCGAGATTGTATTAAATGTGCCAGGCTATAAACATGAAAAGATGCAGGATTCTGGAAGCGCAGGAAGTCCTGTACAAGATGAAATATACGTAAGGCCTTCAAAGTAACAAACGGAAATACCTTAACAGTGACAGGCGTGTTAGCGAAAAGCTGCGTTATGTATTCTTCCACTCTAGGCGGCGCCATACGCTCAGGATCAGAACCTCCAATATCTCTATAGACAGTACGGCCTTTTTCTATGCCTATGAGATAAGAAAAACGGGTCGTTCCCCCATGAAAATTTAGAAATCCGATCTGGTCCACCTAAACATTTGTAAGAAAAGCATATTCTATTAGTACCACAAATTATTAAGTTACTACCACACAATACTGTTTTGTCCCCAATAAACCCCTAATAATAGAGTTTTATAATAAATTTTCTATAAACATATGGACAATAGATCGTCTATATGTTGTGCTATAGATTGCGCATATATTGTGCTTACCTTACGTTTACGATCTGGAACGTTCTCACGAATTTCCAGTGGTACGTAGATCGCTTCGAGGGCTCCAAGCACAACTGTTGATTCAACGTTGAAGTCATTGTAATGACTAAAAGGGCCGACAGGTATCGACACCAGAGGCTTTTTGGCACCAGCTAATAGAGCTCGTTTCACGCCCTAGTCGATAAAAACGATGCAAATTTTTAGTTGTTGCTTTAACAAAAGCAAAAGCTAGTTAGCATAATAATGACATCATACCAGAAATCGTTATTTCGCTACTACGAAAAACTAAGACGTGAAAGAGGATAATTTATTTTTTATTTTTTATATAATTTATGATAATTTTTTAATAGTTTATGAATAACGTCATAATATCTGGCAACTGAAAAACTGTCCTATATCAAAAGCGACACTGACTTGTAGAGATTAGGCTTACCTTGAGTGCGGCCTCGTAGAATGCTCGAACGTCATCCTGGTCTCGATTGAGGGGACCCGTTGGCGAGTAGACCACGCGTGTTTCATTGATTGAAACTACCGTAACCTAATAGAGAACTAACCTTCTGTCTTTACACATTTCTTAAGCCAAGACTAGAATGGTATTTATCACTTAATTAAATTAAGGCAAATAGGATTCTAAAGGGAATCAAAATGCTAGCCTGATCCCAGCAAGTGGATATCTTACGATTTACACTAACATTACACAAATTTAAATCACGTCCTTGATTATAAGCTTAAGCTTATCTTCCCTTCTAACCCCGATGCAAATGTTCAGCATACGTACCTGCTTCTCAAAATCAGAATCGATCCTCTTCACAGCCGCAATGGCGTTGGCCAATGCGCTTGCCGACCCTAAAGACTTAGGGCAGAGTGAGCACCCGACAATAACAATAGCATCGTAATCAACATAGTTTATTAACTCCTCGGTTTTTACGTTTGCTCCGAGAAAATCGATGTACTCCGTTGAGCCTTCCATCGTAGGACTTGTGTGATAATGCAATCAGAAAAATATAAACATGAGACATTACGAAAACAATCAATTGTGACGTGGGGAGGCCAGCCGATCAAAACTTGGTTAATTTTAACTACCACAATCAAAACAACATAAAATTGTCGATTTTATTATTTATACAGGTCGACATCTCTTCAGAATAGTTTATTCGGAAAACCAGTTTCCCTCTTATGTAGTCGATTTATAACAAATCCTGAAAAAAATCACGAGTGGAACAGAATGTAGATTGGGCAACAATGTCAACTCATCAGCATATTCGCTGAAGTTCACAAGAACACGTAATTAAAGTAGTAAATAATAGAAGATTTAACATTATCGAAACAATTCATAGTAATTAGCATAATGCAAGTACAATTGTAATTCAGACAAATTCTGATTATTGAACGGCTCATCTAAAATTATGATCGAATTCCAGCAAATCAAAGAGGATCGCGAAGTCATCTCTTTACGGTAAACACTACTGCAATCGCCGCTTTACTTATCCATCGTCAGTGTATAACCTCATGAATCAAACATTCACGACTATACAACCCTGGCCTGTCATTCCAAACAGTCAAGAGTTACACTTTTCCTCGTCATTGTCAAACGGACAGACGTCTACGTTCAAATTGTTATGACTACTTGTTGTAAAACCGACCTATATGAAGTGCAAGACACGGACGTTAAAGCAGCAGTAGTAGCAGCCTTACACGAAGAGCTATGGCTTCCGTTAACCAGTCCACTCCGTCATTGGCGACGTGATTACGACTTCCAAAGAGCTCGACCTCTTGCATTTCTATATAAATTGTTTCACCATTTAAATATTCCACAAACACGCCAGCAGCAGAGGCATCTAGCTTTGCCCGCGCTAGTAATCTTCCCCCGCACGACAGAACGTGCAATAGAGAACAAAGAAGTTCTGTTTGTTTAACCTTACCTCATCATTATGACTCGGAGTAAACAGCACACGGCATTGATAGCGCGTCACTCGTCTTGAACTATCGAAAGTTTCATTTGAAACTTGTAACTCAAAAATAGGGTTTACTTTAGAGAAAAGTCCAGCCTTTAGCACGTGCTAAATGGGTGAGCAAGCTCATTTACCTTTAAGACATCTGCACGAAAAGTCTCGCCAACGACTAACACGAAAAAAGCATTTTGAATACTTCATTTTTTCTAACCGTAAAATTATTTTTTATTTCATTGTAGGTAGACCTGTTAGCTTATTAGATAGACTTCCACAAGTTGCGAAATTACCTATTCAGTTTGTTTGGCGAACCAATACTGCGAAAATTTTCTACGCTCGGGTTCAAACCAAGGCAAAAGCTTATCTAAAAACTTCTCTTCTATTGAACTGCCATTGGTGCACTTAGTGTTGGTATACAACACAAAAACAATGGATTTGAAAAACAAAGAATAGATTTGAAACGAATACGAACATGAACACGTCGCCTTACAGGAGGAACTTTATCAGAGTGACTTTTGGGAATTTACTGACTAAGCATATTTTGCATCACAAGCAGACACTGCAGAGAAGGCAAATTGTAACAGATACCCTTTAGAAGTTGAAGTACTTAAAAGTCTGTGAAACTGAAAACACTCTCTCCCGGTAGACGCCAAGGAAGTAGCCGCTACGCTTCGAGTAAACGCTAACCGATTTACTCTCACAGCCTGTCTTGCTGCATTAGAAATGGGTACTGGGCAAGCTAGAGTGAAAGAACTTTCTTGCTTTATGGCGTTGGGACAACGAGTTTTCATTGCACTTAATGTTAATCGAGTTTTAGATACATGGCTAGGTCGAAGAAGATTTATAAACAAAACTTGAGAGTGCCGTACAAGGGCCATTTGGTAATAAATCATGTAATAAAAAGTATCACACACAGAAATGTCGACATGACTAGTCCATATCAACGGATGAATTGGAGTTTATCATGGATGTCGTCTGCTAGCCACTTTATAAATGAGACGCTATTACAAGATCTACTGGTAGAATTGAGTTGAGCTACTGGGGTAGCCCTTGTAGCTACCAGGCTAAACAGCCATCTCAGTTGTAAAGATTTGTTATATGCAGCAGCACATGCTTGAGATTCACGTTCAATTCAGGGCCCCGGCTGAATGGAGCTTATCCAGCTTACAAACGAATGCCGGTTGAACAGAAGTCCAGAACAGTCCATGTTTTTTTTCACAGAATTCTTAGGAAATTTATTTTAGAATAGGTCGTTATACTTCTTTTATGTACTTACTTGATATACATATGATACGAAATGTTGAGTTCGGTATTTAAGGGTTAAATTAGGCATGAAATTGAGAAGGTTTCTACTTACAGATGACAGGTGATATGAGTAAACACGTTGACTTGGCTAGGATGGATGTCTTACGCCTGGGCAAACGGCCGCGGGCGTTTTATCGAAATGGAAAGGAAGAAAAGCTTTTGCACGCATTTGAACCTTTACGTAATGGTGATTATTTCTAGCTCAATATTATGTAGATCGATAGAATAATGCGTGTGAGAAAAGTATGTCTACCCATTCGTGAGCCTCATTAAAAGAGGCGGGGGTATTTCTAGTGTAATATAAAAAATATGGTATATTGAATACGTTTTCGTGTTGCTTACGATTATAAATTTTGCCAGGCATGTGGTGACATATTTCCATTTACGAACTCTGCACTACCGCCTGATAGTAGGAACTCGTTTCGCCCTCGCCGTTGATCCTCTTGTGGTAAACATCACGCAGGCTATATTAAGACAAATCAATCTAGTATGCGCCCACATAGGTCACCTTCTTGCGGTTGTTATTCTAATTTGACCATATCTCGCATTATTTTTGTGGTTATTTTCGATAATAATAATTTACCATTTTTGTCGGACACGCCCTTCACCGCTATCTCTGCGTGATTTCGATTTGTTCTTGTAAATGGCTCAATGATATGAAAAGAAGCAATTAAGAATTTTCTTTTTACTTGGTGACGTACTTATATCGAGTATCAGACAGATGGTGGCAAGGTTGTGAAATGTGCTCTTGGAAAATCAAGAATTCAATAAATAGCTTTGCGTCTAATTACACACCCACAGTTTTCATTGACCATGATAACGAGTGTGTCTATACATTTATTGGAAATAGCGACTGCGGAATAAACCTTTCTTAAGCATAAAAAGAATACGCGTTGATATCCAGGCCACTTTCCCGTTCATTTTTGAAGTCGGTGAACCTTGTCTCTCTGTCAATAAAGGTTAAAACGTGCCTTCAAGTGCTGACTCTTATGTAGTAACCAAGCGAAATGTGTTTTATGTAACTAAAGGTAGATCAGTCATAACAATGTTGTTGTAACTGATCTACTGTTAGATCTGTCGAAATTGAAAACATCATTCCAAAGCAAAAGTCGAGGATGCAATACGACCTTTAAGAACAAATTTTGAGTACTTCAATTCTTGTTGAACCATCCTTTCTGGATTGCTGAATTCAGTTTATAAGGAGTAAATATTTGAATATTAAAAGCATATTTCAACATTTTTTTTTAATTTTATAACAACCTCTCAATTTCTGACTATTTCGGATCTTGATTTACGCTTTATTTAAAATAAGTTGAAAATGAAATGAGCTTACACAAGTCTAACTTATGAAACTTGCTTACCGTTCCTGTTTAAAATTTCACTGTTGATTCAGCCCTCGGCACGATTGGCTACAATAAGTGTTCAAGTTCGATGTGTAATTCATATTAGCTGATTATTATATATTATTATATGCTACTAGATTAATATCGCACACTTACTGACGACCACGTGCCAGAACGTTTTCACAGCATTAGCAATTAAAAAACCTCTCTCTTACAACAGGTAACATTTTCTGTTCATAACTACCAATATAGTAAGGACAACGTTTTTTTTATATTTGATCTTACCATACTACTTGTTTTAAAATTGTCTTTCTACTTAGTCAAGCAGCGAACAACCTTAAGATTGAGCATATAAAAGTCTGGAATTATAATGTAAAATATTAAGTTCGAGAGTGCAATAGCAGATATAACAATCATACATTCGCCTTCCACGGTTTTAGTATGTTGTACAAAGTACATAATACCTAGTATAAATAACAACCATAACATACTGCTTAGAGCAAATAATCATACTTGCGTTTTTAGCATCAACAAGTTAGTTTACTAAACAAATACGAAAGTATA